AATAGTAATAATAATAATAATAAATATTAGGATGACAAAAATGAACAATAGTAATAATAATAATATTAGTATTATTATTAATAATAATACTAATAATAATACTAATAGTAATATTAATAATAATAATAATTATTATTATTATTATTAGTATTATTATCATTATTATTGTCATTAACACAATCATATTCAGCATATGCATAAGCATCATCAGCAGCATAGGCATCATATTCGCCTATTCATGCCCTTTTTGTATTCCAGGCTTTCCGTACTTAGTGGAAGAATGTTTCGAGACCATCAGTGAATGGAACAGTAAAGCTTGATTAATTTTGATTCGCTTAACTTGACTTAAATACTCTTTGATGGATCTTCAAAAGTGAACAGACAAATTCCCAAGATTATGGTACATTTCACTCATCACTATCATCCCAAAGTATTATCATTCAGACTAAATGGTAAGTTTGGCATCATCATCCTCTTCCTCGTCATCATCGTCATCATAAACGCCATCACCATCTACGTCTTCAGCATCATTAATTACTTATTTTTACTATTTTTTGGGGTCTTCTTTTACTTGTGGCAAGATTTGGGATTAACAATAATTTGTATATAAGAACTTGAGACGTCATAGGTCGCTTCAGGTGACATGAATACCTTTTGTTGATTTCTTCTAAAGACAACAGGGTAGATACGAAGATAAAGTGAGTTTCGATGAATCTCCTGAGATAAAATTGTTGGGAAGACTTTCATTTCGAATGATAGTACACAAAGAAGAGATTCTTTAGTTGATCTCACCACATAAGAACGGATGAATCTCGTTGTACTGTGGCCGTTTGGCTTTTAGACGATATTCATGTTGATGCAGTCCACAAGACTTCCTCCCTCGTTTTGGGTGAAAATGGGCTGAGCTTTCGTCCATCATGTGATGAACATCATCAGAGCTGGATGTCATTCTCGTCAAAGTCTCACGTTAACACTAAAGCAAGAACACTATCCGGCTCTATCTTATCTCTTATATAGACTCAATTAAGCATAAATAAAATTAAAAACCCAGCTTGATTTATATAGTGGTTTGGTCAATTATCTTTCATACTGGTCCTGTTACCTTTGCTCGAGTGTGTGTATGTGTTTGTGTGTGTGCTGGTTAGCTTTTATATACAATACATTTGCTAAATCAGAGTTGTCAAAGGTTTAATATCAGGTTCTGATCCTCAAGGCCTAATGACTCAAGAGAAAGCCTTCACGGAGACTGCGTAAGTCTGTAAACAAGTATGGTTGAGATGATGAGATATGAAATTGTGAGCATGTAAATCAAGTTACGAAACCACTTTTCCTAACCTCTCAGTCGAGGCAGGACTGAGGTTGCGTAATCTGACATGTCTGGTTTGGTTGATGAGCTTACTCGAACATGTTGGACGAGTGTAAGTGAAGTTGGAACGATCACCAAGCGGACGAGCTGAGTCGTCTTCTTTTGTACGGCAGCTCAACAGCCTCTCCCTCTTTCAATCTATCAATGAAGCAAGCGTAGTTTCTAGAAAAGGCCATCCTTCCGTTAAGTACACTCAAAGGTGCTCATTTAAGTACTGCTAAACGATGCGCTAAACCACCAGAATCCGAGCTCGAGTCCCGTTGGGGATAAGGCTAGGATCAGTTGAGACGCGATGCAAACTGCCGTTCAGTCGAGTCGAGTCGAGGCGGCATGAGAAGACCGATGGATACGTGGGGCCTAACTAAGCATGGGATTGTGGGAAACCGAAATAACCAGTCGTTCATTTCCGTAAATGAAATAGACTGAAATCGTTTCATACATACTTTGCCAATATCAGCTAGCCTACGAGAAAGCAATGTTGCAGTCTTCACGTCAAGACATCTCGCCCACACCTCGTCGAGTCTGTTGTTTATCAAACCTCAAAAAATCCCTAAAGACTGGCATAAATGACGTACCAAATGGTATGAAGACATCGGGTTGTATGGAAGGTATGAAGACCAAGATCGTGTGGCCTTTTGTGTATTCGCAGTGTCTTTTCGTTGTATATAAGTTGTTTGACCTTTTTTTCGCGTGTACCACGTCCACGGTCGTACTCTGGAAATGATGATGCATACAATGGACTCCGGACAAGGTTCTTTCCTCTAAGTCTGCCTACCAACAAGTTGACCAAGTTGCGAAAACAAGGTCAAACAACTTCTATCAGATTGTATGATTCACGGACTGAGGCAGGAGAGAGAAAATAAAACAGGGATGGACTCAATTTAATGTATTGATGTAAAGACTTTATTTAATTTCATATGAAAGTACATGATGAAGAGATTCGCCGAATGATTCGCGTTTTACTGCATCCGTTTGGCATTAATACGATGCTCAAGTTGATGCAGTTCACCAGACATCTTCCAACCTTTCATGCAAAGATGGGCTGAGTCTTCGTTCGTCATGCCATTTGACGAACACCATCAAAGCCGGGACTCAGTCATGACAAAGCCTCTGGTCTTCCTGGCTTAGTGTTAATTTGAGGATTTTACAAGAATGAGCCCCAGTTCTGACGATGTTCGTCATGTGGTATGACGAACGAAAGCTCAGCCCGTCTTCGTCCGAATTTGTTGAGCTTACTTCCATTTCGTGTGAAAGTTGTGTGAAAGATTCGAAGGTCGGTTCCACCAGAAGACGACGGCGGATTCCTCTTGATTAGCTGTCGATTGGCTTTACT